TAATAGGTAAAAAAGGATATGAAAAGTGGCATGAAATTATGAAACCAATGTTTGAAAAATTATTACAATGAATGAATGAATGAATAATACGTAATTCTTATTAATTTTATAAATTATAATTTATAATTTTTATAATTTTGAATTTGTAAAACAAAAAATCAAATAATCAATAAAAAGATGTGAATCAATAAATCAATAATGATTGAAACATTACTTATAAATTAACAATATTGATCAGAATGATGATAATCGATAATTAATCAATAAAAATCAGGTCACACAAACACACTCAAACACATTGAGGGTTAATCAATTGATTGATTGATTGATTGACTAATTGAAAAAAGAAAACAAAACCCTTGAAATAATGATTTTTTTAAAAAAAGTTTTCCCATTCCCCGGTTTCATTGGACAGTGTTTGTGCATGTACAAATATCTTTATGGTATCACTAGGTATACCATGGAAATCTGAACAACATAAAAGTGATGGTAATAATGTTTTCGAAACAATATTATTCCGAATGTCAGGTATTTAATTATGGCATTAGTGGTGAATATCAAAAGTTGTTGATATTTTAAACACGTTGGCACGCTTGACAGAATTTTTATTTGACATAATCTTTTAACCCCTACACACACAGAAAAAAAATCAATCAAAAAGCTTAATGGCCCATACACACAGATATATAAAATGAAACAAACACACAGATATTGATGATTTTTTTGTTTTTCATTTACAACGATCGATTCAATTTAATAAGTTTGTTTGTTTGTTTTTTTTATCAAAAAAAAATGTATAATTCATCAACATTGTTTTTGGTAATATTGACTTTTATCTGTATCAATTCGGTATTATCATCAGGTAAACCATGGGATCCTGTACCAGGTGAAGCTAAATATTATCAAAATATACATCAAGAATTATTAAATCAAACAAAACGATTTGGTTCAGAAATTCAGGTCGTTTTTCTTGGTTCTAGTTCAATTAGTGCTTGGACATTGTTTGGTAATGAAATATGGAAAAATTATTATCAAAAACATCAATCATATAATTATGGTGTTTGGGGTGATCGTACTGAAAATATTTTATGGCGTATTGAAAATGGTGAATTGGATGGTTTACAGCCAAAATTAATTGTACTTGAAATCGGTCATTGGAATATTGCAAAGGGTGAAGATAGTTCGGCTGATATTGCTAAAGCAACACAAATAATATTGAAAAAATTATTGAAAAAATTACCAAATACAAAAATATTATTGATAAGTATTATTCCATGTGATCAACAAGAAGATCATATGCAAAAAATTGATGAAATTAATAATATTATTAAAAATAATTCGGATAATTCAAAAATATTTTATCTGGATGTAGCAAAATATTTTCGTAATGAATCTGGTAAATTGATTAATGAATTTCATTATCATGGTATGACTACAATAGATGAAAAAGGATATGAAAAGTGGCATGAAATTATGAAACCAATGTTTGAAAAATTATTACAATGAATGAATGAATGAATAATCCCTTTATTATTAATTTAATTTCATTGTATTTTCAATAATTTAAATA